AGATGGTCTTGCTTTAAGATTCTTTTTTACTCAGAGGAAGAAGTCATGTTGAGTGACATTGAAGCAATCAAGTCTTCTACAGATATTCAGTGCAACATGTCATCATCTTGTCTTTGAAGTGCGACCTCCCGTAGATGGGTTGCTCTCAAATGTTCCTATTTTATTAAGTTTCTTGTCTTTCTTGGGTGGTTTTCTCAAGCAAACAGTGCAACAGGACCAATCGCTGGAGGACATGCTTGCTCTGGTGGCTTTAGAAGCAGATGAACATGATGGTCTCTGATCAGATTCAGAATCTGTTTTCTTCCCTAGGTTCAGTAAAACTCTGACATGTGCAATATTCAACTTGCTTGTGTATTTCTGAAAGCAACCCCTGTGACAGAGTATTGGTGGCACATCATCTAAACTAGAAAACTCATCCAGTAGCCACCAATACAATTCATCTCTCCTGACTTCTGCTGCCAGCATCACAGAATTCTGTCCAGCACTGGTTGCTTTGACAGTTTTGCATTCTTTCGATTTTCTTGACAAATAACACATTTTTCCAAGTTTGTGAAGAGTATTTTTCTCTTTGATGTAAGCTTTAAGGGGCTTGTGTCCTCAATGTCTTCATATACTGTAATTTCTCTGCAGTGGTAAAATTATTATATTTTTAGCATTACCACCACCACTATCACCATTTTTCATTTTGTACATTGTATACAGACTTATGTTAAATTAGATATAAATTAGATCTATATGTTAGTTTGAAAATTACCATTTTAGAGCACTTTGATTGAAGCCCAGTAAGAAGCTGTGTATTGTCATCTCTAACACTAACACAGAGTGTCACTGAATTAAAAAGTTAATTTCTAGAATATTTGAAAGACTAGTACTGAATACATAGGCAATTACAAATTAATTGCCTATATATGCAGACTACATTGAATGTACTATATTGTATGTACAAATGGAGAAGCATTACATTAGGAATTCACATATATTTATATCTACCCACTCGCCGTACAAACCCTCGGCACGCAATCTACTGCTACTTCAATATGAGACTCATCTGGTCAGCAAATTTCATTTGAAAATATAGAAAACTATTATAATCACTTGTGACATACTTTGACAATGAAGAATATGCGATGTGAAAACATTTCATGTTAGTATATTGCAATACGTTGATATTTGACATTGTTGCCACATGCTAAACCACTTCATCATTTCTGTTAAAAAAAAACTTGCCCGTGCAAAATCAATACAAACCTTTTAATACATTATCGTTTGGACACACATTGGTGTTTGACCAATAAACACCACATTAAGGTGTTGAAATTAACTTAAGCAGTAAAAACTGTAGGTGTAGTCATGTTGCAGTGTTTCTGGAACTGTGCAAAAAAGAAAAGGAGGACTTGTGGTACCTTAGAGACTAACAAATGTATTTGAGCATAAGCTTTCGTGAGCTACAGCTGACTTCATCGGATGCATTCAGTGGAAAATACAGTGGGGAGATTTATATACACAGAGAACATGAAACAATGGGTGTTACCATACACACTGTAACGAGAGCGATCACTTAAGGTGAGCTATTACCAGCAGGAGGGTGGGGGGGAAAAAACCTTTTGTAGTGATAATCAAGGTGAGCCATTTCCAGCAGTTGACAAGAACGAATGAGGAACGGGGGGGGGGGCGGAATAGTTTTACTTTGTGTAATGACCCATCCACTCCCAGTCTCTATTCAAGCCTAATTTAATTGTATCCAGTTTGTAAACTAATTCCAATTCAGCAGTCTCTCGTTGGAGTCTGTTTGTGAAGTTTTTTTGTTGAAGAATTGCAACTTTTAGGTCTCAGAGGAACAGCCGTGTTAGTCTGTATTCGCAAAAAGAAAAGGAGTACTTGTGCCACCTTAGAGACTAACCAATTTATTTGAGCATGAGCTTTCGTGAGCTACAGCTCACTTCATCAGATGTATACCGTGGAAACTGCAGCAGACTTTATATACACACAGAGAATATGAAACAATACCTCCTCCCACCCCACTGTCCTGCTGGTAATAGCTTATCTAAAGTGATCAACAGGTGGGCCATTTCCAGCACCAATCACAGACATGAAGGTCGCTATCTTAAAACAAAAAAACTTCAAATCCAGACTCCAGCGAGAAACTGCTGAATTGGAATTCATTTGCAAATTGGATACTATTAATTTAGGCTTAAATAGAGACTGGGAGTGGCTAAGTCATTATGCAAGGTAGCCTGTTTCCTCTTGTTTTTTCCTACCCCCCCCCCCAGATGTTCTGGTTTAACTTGGATTTAAACTTGGAGAGTGGTCAGTTTAGATGAGCTATTACCAGCAGGAGAGTGAGTTTGTGTGTGTATGGGGGTGGGGAGGGATGTGAGAAAACCTGGATCTATGCAGGAAATAGCCCGACTTGATTATGTAAAGAGTTGTCACTTTGGATGGGCTAGCACCAGCAGGAGAGTGAATTTGTGTGGGGGGGGTGGAGGGTGAGAAAACCTGGATTTGTGCTGGAAATGGCCCACCTGTTGATCACTTTAGATAAGCTATTACCAGCAGGACAGTGGGGTGGGAGGAGGTATTGTTTCATATTCTCTGTGTGTATATAAAGTCTGCTGCAGTTTCCACGGTATACATCTGATGAAGTGAGCTGTAGCTCACGAAAGCTCATGCTCAAATAAATTGGTTAGTCTCTAAGGTGCCACAAGTACTCCTTAACTTTTAGGTCTGTAATCGAGTGACCAAAGAGATTGAAGTGTTCTCCAACTGGTTTTTGAATGTTATAATTCTTGACGTCTGATGTGTGTCCATTTATTCTTTTATGTAGAGACTGTCCAGTTTGACCAATGTACATGGCAGAGGGGCATTGCTGGCACATGATGGCATATATCACATTGGTACATGCACAGGTGAACAAGCCTCTGATAGTGTGGCTGATGTGATTAGGCCCTATGATGGTGTGCCCTGAATAGATATGTGGACACAGTTGGCAACGGGCTTTGTTGCAAGGATAGGTTCCTGGGTTAGTGGTTCTGTTGTGTGGTGTGTGGTTGCTGGTGAGTATTTGCTTCAGGTTAGGGGGCTGTCTGTAAGCAAGGACTGGCCTGTCTCCCAAGATCTGTGAGAGTGATGGGTCGTCCTTCAGGATAGGTTGTAGATCCTTGATGATGTCTTGGAGAGGTTTTAGTTGGGGGCTGAAGGTGATGGCTAGTGGCGTTCTGTTATTTTCTTTGTTGGGCCTGTCCTGTAGTAGGTGACTTCTGGGTACTCTTCTGGCTCTGTCAATCTGTTTCTTCACTTCAGCAGGTGGGTATTGTAGTTGTAAGAACTCTTACACAAAGTAAAACTATTTCCTCCCACCCCACCCCCCACTGTTCCTCAGACGTTCTTGTCAACTGCTGGAAATGGCTCACCTTGATTATCACTACAAAAGGTTTTCCCTCCCCTCTCCTCCCCTCCCCCCGCTCTCCTGCTGGTAATAGTTCACCTTAAGTGATCACTCTCGTTACAGTGTGTATGGTAATACCCATTGTTTCATGTTCTCTATGTATATAAATCTCCCCACTGTATTTTCCACTGCATGCATCTGATGAGGTGAGCTGTAGCTCACGAAAGCTTATGCTCAAATACATATGTTAGTCTCTAAGGTGCCACAAGTACTCCTTTTCTTTTGCGAATACAGACTAATACAGCTGCTACTCTGAAACCTGTCATTGTGCAAAAAATGACACTTTCTCATTTTGGGTACCATTGTTTCACCTCACCTACAGCCGTATGGCACCACTTGACAGCTGCTTATCATACTTCATCTAAATGAACATAAAATAAGCTTTGAAAGGATATGTGATGTGGGGGGAGTGTAGGTTGGGTACATTAAACTCCAGAAATATGTCCCTTTTTGGAGAATTGCCCCATGCCTGAATGGGACGAGATCAGAGTGCATTAATGAAGTGTTAATGCGCAGCAGCAGGGTCCACATGGACAGTTTGTCTGCAGCAGGCTACGACAGGGTAGACTCACCCCCCAGTTTGCCACAAATTAAATGTTCATGCAAATAAACCCTTAATTGTTCTTAATGTTTTTAATGTATTGGACTGAATTTGAAATTAGTTTAATTACAAAGTAGATAATTTTTTGCCACATCTGCCAAAGATCATATGCTCAACTGCATAGGTTCCTAAGGCTGATTCCTTCTAAACACTTCTTGTCTGTCTCAAACCTCAGCAATCAAACCAACTAAAATTAACCCTTAAGATGCTATGAAATTCTATACCCATTGTTATACACTTCCACGTAGCTTTACTCACAGTAACAATTGTTGCTTAAGGGAGCATGTCACGTGAGAGTAAAACTTTTGAACTGAAACAGGTAAGTTTCTGAACCAACAGTTAACCAGCTAATTGCATTTCTTGTGTGAGACAAGCTGACTTCCCTGACACTGGGGCAGATGCTGTGTCCTGGCCTGTTCCCTTTGCACTGGTTAGGAAGTTTGCAGCAGGCCCAGAGCTGGCACCGCTGGCTCCTAAGTCACCCTCCCTGCAGCTCTTGGTGAGACAGGCAGGATGAACAAGTGTGGTGAAAGTGAGCTATGTTTTGGCTATGATCAGTTGGTCATTGGTTTCTGGGGGAACACTGCAAGCTGGCACAAGAAGCTGAAGCATTCTCAAGGCTGCTGTAGCCTGTGCTGGAAAGAGGGGCTGAGCAGAGAAAATCATGGCACCTTGATGTGTCCCACTTCACGAAGTGTGATGTCAGTGAATCAAAGAATCTGAATCATTATCCGGATATGCCATTTGGAATATGTTTTTTCCCCTGCTAATAACTTTAATTTTTCTGATGGGAATGGGAGAGACACCAACATAGGGTGAGCTGTAAAGATGCGACGTATTGATAGGAATGCAGAAATTTTGCTTGCACTGCACCGTTTTGCAAAGCCTGCCTTGAATTTTGAAATACATGGTGATCTCTGCATTGCTACCCCAATATGTATTTCTGTTTCTTAGGTGACAGAAAGAGAGCTGAAATCTGGGGGTTCAAATACTCAGGTGACAGAAAAGAACAAAAAGGAGTACATTGAGAGAATGGTAAAGTGGCGTGTAGAACGAGGAGTGGTTCAGCAAACAGAGGCTCTAGTCCGTGGCTTCTATGAAGTAAGTAACAAAGTTGCTCACGCCATCTACCACTCATGATCTGAATGTGACAAGCACAAGGGCAGCCTACTGACAATACCACATCAGTGCACTGTGGTGTGGTTAGGAAGATAAGTTTAGAAATGAATGGAATTCTCAAAACCTTAGCAGGCATGGGTAGTAGCATCAGGAGATTGTGTGTTTAATGTTAATGATTAAGGGAGAAGGTAGCTGAATGTGAACTTGATCCTGCACAATAAAAAGTGATGAATGGAAGAAGCAGCACAGGTAAACCTGACCTGCACTAATGAGATTATTGCTATCCAGTCACAACAATATTGCGATCTCATAGTAAAAGTAAAGCAGAGAACATTGCACATAGCTAAGCACCACACTGGTAAGATGAGGACAGCACTTAGGCTTTTGTGTCCTCAGACAATTGTACATACTGCCACTTTTTCACCATGCACACTTGCAAGTAAGGGAGGGGGAGCTCAGGGTAGGCTTATTACTGTCAGTGCAGACGACCATGCCTTGATCTTATTTGCACCCACATGAGGCTTCTACTTGCCAACCTTGTGCACCCTGCTGTGTACCATACAAGGACTTTCAGGATCAAATCTTCTATCTGCTCAGACTACAGAATATAGTCAGTTCCCAGAGTCTTGCCTTTCCTACCACTCGTGCCTGCCAATCAGAGGCACAGAGAACTGGAAGATCACAATCAAGGAAATAAAATAAATTGCTAAGACATTATCCTAGGTAGCTGTACCCCCTCAAGGTTCCTTCCCCACTCTGAACTCTAGGGTACAGATGTGGGAACCTGCATGAAAGCCCTCACTAAGCTTATTTCTACCAGCTTTGATTAAAACTTCCCCAAGGCACAAAGTCTTTGCCATTGGATTAGGTAAAACGCTGCCACCACCAAGTGCTTTAACAAAGAACCAGGGAAAAAGACCACTTGGAGTTCCTATTTCCCCAAAATATTCCCCCAAAGCCCTTACACCCCCTTTTCTGAGGAGGCTTGAGAATAAACAAAATGAGCGCAAATCCCTTGGATTTTTAAAACCCAAAAAACCCAATCAGATTCTTTAAAAAATCAGAACTTTATTAGAAGAACAAAAAAAGATAAGAGAACAACTCTGTAAGATCAGAATGGAAGATAATCTTACAGGCAGTCAGATTCAAAACATAGAGAATCCCTCTAGGCAAAACCTTAAGGTACAAAAAGACACAAAAACAGAAATACACATTTCCTCCAGCATACCGAATTTACAAGCCAAAAAAACAAAGAAAACCTAATGCATTTTCTAGCTAGATTACTTACTAACTCTACAGGAGTTGGAGAGCTTGCATCCTTGATCTGTTCCCGGCAAAGGTATCACCCAGACAGAAAGACAAAAGCCTTCCCCTCCCGGCCCAGATTTGAAAGTATCTTGTCCCCTCATTGATCATTTTGGGTCAAGTGCCAGCGAGGTTACCTTAGCTTCTTAACCCTTTACAGGTGAAAGGATTTTGCCGCTGGCCAGGAGGGATTTTATAGCACTGTATACAGAAAGGTGGTTACCCTTCCCTTTATATTTATGACAACCCCATAGAAGTCTCCTTTCATTCAAATAGAATAAGAATTTCTGGCATGTTTGGATAGGATGTGTCCTGTCAAACCACATTTCATTTTCCTTGTGTATGTCGTATGCTGTCCTGGCCAGAGGCTGAGTTTGTTAGCTAATGAGCTACAACAATATTAACTGTTAGTATTGGCTTTGGTAACTATGAAAAAATTTCAGTCTATAAAGCATAGTGAACCTGATTCTTCTCTCACTTACCCTGGTGTAAATCCAAATTTATTGAAGTAAAACTAGTGCAGACAAGAGGAGAATCAGGCTCAGTATACAGAATTGTAAAATGATTTTTCTTCTGTGGTTATTTCAGTTTCTCAGTTTGTTCCATTTTCCAGTGGCAGTTAGGTTCCTAGGCTGCCCAAGCACATTTGAAAATGCCCATAGGCATGTATCTGCATCATTAGACACCTAAGTACCTTTGAAAATCTGACCCCCTAGCCACTAGTGACTTTTCTAAGCAATAAAGGCTTTTTGAAAGATGCTGTATAAAATACTGTAGTGAAGTATGGGTTCCAATTTTTCTTCTTCTGTTGGGGGTTGGAGTGTGAGGAAGTGCAGAACGAGCACATGATTGAGGAGAACTTTCCAGTGATAGTGAGACATACTGTATCCTTAAGGAACTCATCACAGTACGGTTTGACATCTAGCATTCTATACTATAAACTGTGGCTAGCCCTAATATATAAAATGCTGGATCTCAAGGTTGTGTTAATGGGCGTTGCTCCATTGAAGTCATTGGAGCTATGTCAGTTTACGTTAGCTGAGGATCTGGCTCCCAGAGTTGCACTGTGGCAGAATTCATGAAAGTGCTGGCTTCAAGAGTTGCACTATGGCAGAATTCATGAAACTGCTCAACCGCCACAAGAACTGACAAAGACTGAAAAGCTGTATATTTGTTTCTTTATTCCGTGTTAATCTGAGTACTGTACAGTTTTGAAGCGTTTTTTTTAATACCATGAAGAAGATAAACCTCAGTTTAATCACATTTTTCAGAGTAGCAGCCGTTTTAGTCTTTGTCTGTAAAAAGAAAAGGAGTACTTGTGGCACCTTAGAGACTAACAAATTTATTAGAGCATAAGCCATGAAGTGAGCTGTAGCTCACGAAAGCTTATGCTCTAATAAATTTGTTAGTCTCTAAGGTGCCACAAGTACTCCTTTTCTTTTTTCTCAGTTTAATCATGCATGAAGTACAAAGGCTGCTATCTTGTAACCATATTCTGACACAGACTAAAAGTTATATAGAAAAATATACCCTACCTTTTGCAAATCTGTTACGCAGTTGACCATTAATATCACTTTTCAGAAGAGATGCGGTAGGAAGAAGTCCTCTGCACAAACTATTCATTTTTCCTTCTGCTGTTCCATTCTGATCAAATCTCCTCATAGGTCAGCATTGTTTTCAATTAAAATTCTCAGCAAACTCACAAAAGAAGAGCAACTGATTTATCAGCAGGTGATTGGAATCTGACTGTTGACACAGTCACAGTAGGCAGCTAATCATTGGAGCCGTGACTGGGTTTTTCTAAGATAATGCATCTGCTGTACTTCCAGTCCAGAGTGGGCTCAAGAATGGTTTGTGTTTCAGGTTGTAGACTCCAGGCTCGTCTCCATTTTTGATGCCAGAGAGCTAGAGCTGGTGATTGCAGGCACTGCAGAAATAGACCTCAATGACTGGCGTAACAACACAGAATATCGTGGAGGTAAACTATCTACTCATACTTAGTAGGACCTTAATTATTATCAGGCCACATCCTGAGATGCATACTCAGTGTTTGCTCTATTTTTTCTAAGGGAAACTCCCATTGAATTCAGACAGTTTCTCTCAGGAAGGACTCAGTGAAAACTAAATAAGGACCTCATGATTTGGCCAATAGACATGTTAATACTAGAACAGGTCTTGCAGTTTCAACTCAGATCTTACTCAGACAAAATTCCCTTGACTTAATGAGAGTTTTGACTGAGTAGAGACTGAAGAATTTAGCCTATACTTTATTTATATTGAAGAATATGAGTAAAATCCTGGCCTTATTGAGACAATGGCAAAATTCCCATTAACTTTAATAGAGCCAAATTGTGCTCCCAGTTACACTCTAACAAAATGCAGCACTATCTTAAAGCCCCCAAGTCAAAGTGTTTCTCTTCTTCATTCAGCATCAGCACTAAACCCCCTGCCTTGACTAGTTGGACTTATTTTGTTTTGAACAAAGCACATAGTGTGTGCAAGTAGTGTTGAGTAATGGGCAAATGGGTTGTCCCCCCAGGTCCCTTGGCTCTGCAACACAAAAGAAAACTCAGTGGAGTTTACCTGTCCTCCCCCATAAACACAATACCCAAATTTTGGCTGCTGGCTGACCACCAACTATTCTTATCTATTTGTTGCTTAAGCACTGAGCTACTAGCCATAAAGAGGATCCCTATAATGGTTTTCATGTTTAACTCTTCTGCATAAAGTGTTATCTCAGGTGGTTATTTAAATATAGTTATTGAGCTAGATTGAGCGTGGGTTCATTCTGGCTTTCACTAGCATAATCTCAAGCCCAGAGCTCCTGTGGTGGAAAGTCTGCCAGGGAAGGGCTTGCAGTAGCCATTCCCCTCCAGATGTTGGAGGCCAGTACAACCCCAAAAGGGACTGGTATTGGCCACGAAGAGGGTATGGCCCCTTAAAGTGATTCATACCTAGGATGCAGGGAGCTAGGCCAGCACCTTCCTATGCTAGCTTCACTGTCTGGACCATTGATTTAATTTCTTTACTCCTCTTATTACATTGTTTTAAAGAAAAACTATTGAATGTTATCTGCTTTAGATGTAACAATTTATCCAGCTCTACAGCCTTGGTTATATTTGGGAATCAGAAATGTAGCCTTTCCATCAAGCTGTCAGGAGCCATATAGAATATCAACTTTAGTCATTTATTTTTAACATGGATAACCATAGTATTTGCCAAAATGTTTTGGGAAAGGCCTGTATACGTGAGTTATAAATGTGAGTTTTGCTGTACATGGAATTTTGTAGTTTCAAATGAGTTAGCTATATTAAGTTATCCAGAGGTGAGAAGACAAGAGGGCTAAGACATAGTTCATCCATCATTAGATCAGTCCTTTGGCTGAGGTTTTGTAGCAAGAAAAGCTATCAGCTCACATTTCTTTTTGTGGAAATGTATTGAAATGGTACATCATCAGATCCAGTTCCCACTTAACTTGTATGTTTCTAATCTCTCTCTGTCAGGTTACCATGATGGGCATATTGTAATACGGTGGTTCTGGGCAGCAGTGGAGAGATTTAACAATGAACAGAGGCTACGGTTCCTGCAGTTTGTCACTGGAACATCTAGTGTGCCATATGAGGGGTTTGCAGCCCTTCGAGGGAGCAATGGTCTGCGGCGCTTCTGTATAGAGAAATGGGGGAAAATAACATCCCTTCCGAGGTATGTCTGTATTATAAATAAAATCTTAAATGCTGTGGAGAAGATGAGCACAACACTTCTATTCAGTGTGTCTGCCAATTAATGACAGTGAATACAGGAGCAGCAAAGGACAAATCTCACTTCATCACGACACAGCCACTGAACCTACAATTGCACTCAGTGAATGGTGGTTTCTTTTGGTATCCTTTATCTTTAGAAATGGGTCAAACCAGACCTTCACATTTGGACTCCTTTAAATAGTAAGGAATGGTCAGGATGCTAATTCCTCAGATCCAAACCAAATCTTTTTGTGAGATTTCAGAGCTCGTGAGATTTCAAAACGTGTCTCTGACTCAGCCATATACCCGTTTCCTAGCCCAAGTCTCATAGGGATTCAAATCTGAACACCTCCATTGTATCTCATTTGTTCTATTTGGTCACCCCACTATTCAGCATGTCATAGACTCATAGGGCATAAGGGACCACCAGATCATCTAGTCTGAGCTCCTGCATATCAGGGGCCACCAACCACCCAGCACCTGCACACTAAACCTGAATACTAATGTGTATGGGACCATTAGGAAGCTTAGTGAGGACATGGGCTGTAGTCAGTGTGATGGTACCACCAAGCTTTATATATCCATTTTAATCAGCTCAGTAGGTGCAGCTGAATGATTTACCCAGTTTCTAACAGATTGAAGCTTACTTGAGAACTTGCTGAGGCTCACCCAGACAAGACTGGAATAACACATGTAGGCTGAAGGAAGATTTTGGGAGAAAGGCAGAGGCAATTGTCTTGGTTTAGGGAAAGTGCCTGGTGTTTATGACATAGATTCACTGCCTGGGCATCTTGTTGGATTCCACAGCTACACCAGTGGCCAAGAATATTTGCATCCATTTGTGTGCAACCATAATAATAACAATAATACCTAGCTCTTATATAGCACTTTTCATCAGTAGATCTCAAAATACTTCACAAAGGAGGTCAATGTCATTATCCCCATTTTACAGATGGGGAGACTGAGGCACAGAGAGGTGATATGGCTTGCCCAACAGACCAATAGCAGAGCTAGGAATAGATCCTGGATCTTCTGAGTCCTAGTCAGTGTTCTGTCAACTAGACCACACTGTCTTCCATCTAGGTTGTGACTTCTTTTCTTGAATGTGGATGTCACTATGTCTAGCCATGCTTTTGTCTCCTTGAGATTGTACTACTGCAATGCACTCTATATAGGCTACATTTTAACACCATTAAGAGATTTCAGCTAAGGAAGTCCCCTATATGCTTAACAGTCCTCATTCAGGGAAGACCTCTCACCTGTGCTTCAAGATCTACACTGGCTTCCAGTTCATTTCCAGGAGGATATTCAACATGTTGTTCTTGCCCTATAAAGCCCTCAATGGCTTGTGACCTGCGTACATTAGAGACCACCTCCAGTTAAGAACAGCTGAGGTGCTCCAGCATACAGTCCTTTCAGGAAACTGGGGGAATTAGCCCTAGTTTCATCCACCAGTGATCAGGCAACCGTGTAAGCTGTTTTGTGCAAACCCCATTTCAAGCAGCGGTAAGCTGCACTGTTGCTAACTGCAATTAACATATCTGCATTAGGGGTTTGCTCCAGTACAGCTGTTCTGATGGGTGGACAGGGATGGCTGGAATCAGGGCAAATCCACAGGGTAGACAGGCCTGGGAGGATGCTGTTGACCAGGCATTTTCAAGGAGAATCCTTTGACTCTATCACATTCTTCTTACTTGGTTTGACAGAGAACAAGTCTAACAACTTTCCTGGCATTCTGCAAGTCCCATGTGTTTTCCAAAGTCTTTGAGAGATCCAGAACCATCTCTATAGATGGGCTATAGAGGTGGTTATGGACAGTCCTGACTGTGGACATGAAGAATCACAAAAAGTACAAGTTCCAGGTTGTGCAGCATTTCCGTAGAAATCCATCTACATTAGACTTCTCAGTGTGAAGATGAGTGGGTTTTGTAGTGTGTATGAGAAAGACCAGGCTGACCTGTCAAGGGCTAATAAGGTAATTTGCCATTTTCTGCTCTGCTTAACTTTCTATGTTAACCTAGGCATTGCTTATGACCTAGAGTCAGTTAGCCTCAAGATATTCAAGCTAACTGCCTTAAGTTTGTCCACTGATTACTCAAAGTCTCACTCTCCCCCAAAGAAGCCTTCTCTCCAGGTCAGAGCTGCAGAACCCTCTAGAACTTTCTGAGCTCTGTAATCCAGAAAAATGAAGCAACCATTTCTGATGGGGGAAAAATCCAGGTTGTTTACCATGAATTACCATCTTTATTATTTAATAATTGTAGAGTGCTCTTGAGTGCATATAGCAGTCAGAAATATATAAAACACCAGGGCCAAAATGCCAAAACCTGGACACTGAAAATTAAGCTCCTAAATCCACATTTACTTGAACTTTTTATTTAGATGCCTAATTATGGATTTATTTAGAGGCTTAAAGGGCATCTGACCATATCCTCTAGGCACTCAGGCATAACTTTAAAATGCACACTAAGTGTACCAATTTAAGGTAACTCACTACAAATCCTCCTCCCCCTCAAACAATTCCCACCTCTACATTTGCACTTATTACCCTCCTGCATTTTCTAATGCATGGGGAAAATAGATGACCTATTCCATGTGCCCTAGAAGTAATCAGATTAGGTCAGTTAGGTGTTCAAATACAGATTTAGGATCCAGCTTTCAGCTTGAGTTTTTTCATGAACGCTACAAGATTCTTAGGCCCCAGTCCACCAAAAATTATGACTGTTTCTTATGCCATAGAAATCTGCAAAAGGTTGCATAAACCTCCAAGCAATTGGCTTCTTCAGCGGAGCCTGGCACAGAGATGAATGTGGGGTTGCTGGGTTTTATGGCAAGGTCTGGTCTAAACATTTCCAGGTGTTTTACAAAGTATCAAGAAAAGTTTTAAATATTTTGTAAGAACCCAGGGCTCCGTCTTTGGTCTCTTCTTCTTCTCCTGATAGCTGTTTTAGATGTGTGACTCTCCCATACATATTGTCCTTATACGTTAGTGACGCAGTGTGCAATTGCTCCTATTTTGTTTACCAGTGAACACAGATGTAGTAATGCCGAGCACTTGCCACAACATGCAGCCCTACCAGCAAAGACACATGGTGTGAATTTCTGAGATGAAATGATACTTGTAATAGTACTACTATTAATACATAGCAATCATGGTAGGGCTTTCTGGAAATAGCAGTGTAACCACAGCAGCAGGAGAAGCCATCCACCCAAGTACTTAACAAAGGCTGGTCTATCCTGAAAACTGACATATTTCTCTCAGGGATGTGAAAAATCCCCCCTCTCTCCCAGGAGACATAGGTGTTCAGACCTGACCCCCAGTGTAGGCTGACAGAAGAATTCCTCCATTGATCTAGTTACTGCCTGCTGGAGAGGTGGATTAACGACAGTGATGGGAAAACCCCTCCTGTTGCTGTCATGATTGCCTGCACCGACGTGCTACAGCGGCGAAGCTGCAGCATTGCAGCTGTGCCACTCTAGCAGTTTAAGTGTAGACACAGCCTAACATCCTGGACAGGATTGTATTCAGGGTGCCTAGCCCCTCAGTCATGGGTACACTTCTATTTTTAGTGCGGTACTCAATTAGAGCTAGCATGGATATGTATTCTCAAGCTGGAAATTAGACCTCCAGCTCCAAGTGTAGACATATCAACAGGAGTCATGACTTTGGAGTGGTTTGGAAGATTTTGACTCCAGGGGCTTTATTCTAACTTCACTTATGCTGGTGTGAATCAGGAATAAATCCACTGAAGTCAGTAGAGTAACACCGGTGTGAAACACTGGTATAAGGAATATCAGACCCAAGAAGTGGATTATTTCCATTATGCATGGGAAATGAGACATGGGTTATTTTATTCTAGTCTACATTTATGTATCATGTATACCCATTAGAATAAAGGCAGCCAAAGCAGAAAACAGATCAGAGATATTGCTCTACTCCCAGACCACAAGAACGTGACTCTGCAGCAGTATCCAACCAGAGTGTGTCTAACTCCTACAGGACTCTGTCAATGTAAAACTATGGTTTGTTTTTCCTCCACACTGCTGCAGCGAATCAAATGAGATACCACAAACTAGGTAACAGAGTCCAGGCACTTAATGTTATGTATGCTGATTTCTGTTCTTCAGGCCCCAGGTTTACTCTCCCTGTTTAGTATGGAAGACTTCCCTTTGAAATGCAGCAATTATACATTGACTCCCAGTGCTTGGTTTTTATTAAGTTTCCCATGGGGGAAAGATTGTTCTACTGTTTAGGTTTATAGCTGGATGAAGATCTGAGAAAACTTCTTCCCATCTATAGCCTTGTTGAAGCAGGGGAGCTCTTATCTTGTGTCATGCAGATTTTTGGCTCTCAGCCAACTCCCTCAGTCTCCCAAGATCTTGACCTTAATTCCCCACCATACTTTAATGAATACCAAAAAAACCTTCTTATATTAAGCCATGTAGCTGTATCTAAAACTAAGGAAACAACTTCACCTGAAAAGTATGTGAAAAGAGAGGGAAAAACTTTCTGCTACAGCTGCCTGAGAAGACAATGCCCTCTCCTAAGAGCTTGATCCTGAGAAATCTGAACACCTATACCTCCCATTGGGACACATCCTGAAATCCTTACTTTGTTTCTCCTTCACAGTCAGGCAAAACACTCATTGGCTTGAAGGAGAATTCTGCCTAAGTAAAAACCAAATAAGGATTTGGCCCAGAGATTTCAATAAGAATTGCAAATAATTTGTACCTGAGAAGATCAAGCCTTTACTTTCTCAATCAATATAGAGAATTAGCTCACTTTCCCTTGAAAGTGATTTTAGTTCTACAAAGTAATTTATAAGTACTGTACCAGCATATTGTCTGCAGTTAGCATATGCAGATTATCAGTAAATATTTGATCTTACATAAATGATCTCTGTAGGTCCTAAGATATTTATTAGGTACCTATCATCATAATATCCAAAACTGCCATATAACAATTAAGGTACTGGATGTACAAACAGGCTATAAACACATCATTTCCCCCTTTCCTAGTGGTGTGTATGTTAGTTTTGCTTGTTTTGTTATTTTTTTAATCCTGGGTCCTTCTCCTCATCCTCCTCCCCTCTCTTTCCTTCTTGAGTCCCTTCCTCTCTCCTAATTGCCCTATTACAGTTCAGTCTAAGGGAGATGATTATGGGATATAATATAATTCTCCTATTCAAAGTATAGTTCCTATATTGTTATTCTTTATATTCTCATTATCTATGTGTTTGGCAAGATTTCATGCTGAAAAATAACATGTTACTAGGACAGACAAATATCTGAGGCACAAACTGATTCAGATATGTGACCCTTGGAAAACTGGTCCTCCTGTAAAGGAAGCATAAACCGTTTTTGTTGAAGACAACAGAAATATAACCTTAGAGCCCATAAGCAAAAAATTCTTAAGCAAAAAATTCCCAAGAGGAACCATTGAGTGTTTCCCTTCACAAACAAAGAGGAACAAAAGTAAATATTGGTATGGAAGATCTGAGAGATTTGAGGATTGTGGCTGGGAGTTAGTACCTCTCCCCAAAAAAGCAAGGTGAGAGGAATAAGTGGCCCATTTCTGTCTCTCTGGCACTGTTCTGTCAGAAAGCAAACCTTATTACAGCTGACAGGTTAAAGCCATAAGTTTGACAGGGGAGGGTTGTGTGTGCATTTGTTGCCTTTGGACTGTCAGCATTATTAGGATTAAGGGAAGTGACAAAAGAAGAAGAATGCCAAGAGCTTAAAAGCTTACATGTAACTTTTAGAGAGGACATTTAAAAGGCGAGAAGTAGCAATGGAGACACTAACAGAGATTTAGAGATTCAGACCCCCACAAACTGCTAGGAGTTATAACTATAGACTGCAAAGAAGAAAGAAATGTAAGTTATCAGTTGATAGCTTTTCTTCCTTCAAGACAAGAGCATTATAAGTAGGTCATGATTTAGATTACTTTATCTTATGTTTTCTTCTAAAAGTGTAGGGGTCAGTTTTGTAAAAGCGTAAATACTCTGCTCTTTCGAGTTTGGGTCCTCATACTTGCTGAACATGCTCTCATAAATGTCAACAGGCTAACAGGTCTTGCTAGAGGCTTAACTGAAGGAAGAAAGCCTATTCACAAAATGTAATTATTGTTTCTTCCCTTGCTCATGCAGCATTTCCTCTCCAATACACACAAAGGGCCGAATACTGCAGAATGCTGAGCCTCTCCTGCCATGTTCTCAGTACAGTGACATCAGTGGCCATAGAGGCTGCTCAGCATACCTTAGGAGGTGCTCAACCCCTTACAGGATTGGGCACAAAGTTAAGGGACTGTGACATTACAGAAAATGTCCCTGCCTCTTAATTGACCTATGTGCTTAGGAATCACATAGCATATAATATAAACAACCCAAGTGCTGAGTTGAGTGCCTTTTGTTTCAGCTGGAAAAGGAAAGGGTTTCAACTTTCAGCTGCAAGAAGCAAAAACGAATGCCTTCTCAGCAATACTGAGAAGGAACAGGGAAGACTTATCTTCCTCCTGTCCATCCCCCTCCCCAAACCAAAAATCAGAACTTGTCACTGCATTACATAAGCAGACACTTGACACCCTGGCCCCAGATTTTGGCCCTTGCAACAAAGAACAGGAAATGACAGCTGGCCCACTTACAACACTGCAGAAGGAACGTGGAGAAATTTTGTTCTTAGTTACTGGTGTAAAACTAGGCTGACTCCATAGACTTCACTGGAGTTACTCCAGATTTACATTAATATAATAAAACAGAATTTGACCCCATATTTTGTCCTTCAGCAATGTATAATACCTACATGGTGGTTGGCCTGAGAGTTATTTAGTTTCCCTTTTTTATTTGGTTGTTTGGGGATCTTTTTGTACGACAGATACTTTTGGGTTAGAGGGTACAAATGTTTTGTTTGGATAAATGTCCAAACATCTCCAGACATTTTGAGGTTCCCTTCTCTTTTTTCCCTCCAATAGTTCCTCCCCGATCATATGACCCCGTAACAATCTGCTATACCCTGCTGTTTACCTGCAGCCCTCCTCTACATAAGCCTTTGTCCTGTACAAACCCATAATCCAATATTTGCTTGTATGTCCAATGAAGGGCCACTTGTATGGCTCTGAGGACATACAGTATGTTAGGTCCTTACCTTCCATTCAAATTGTAAAGGAGTAACACAAAGAAGATTCTTCTCTGCCCCTAAATGCTTTTTATGTGTGACACTCAAAAGGTTAATAATGGCTTCAGTTTTGAGGGACTTTTTTTCAGAGAACTGGTAATAGGAAAATGAGTAGGTCTGTGCTCTGAATCTGGCCCAGATGAAGAGTGACTGAAAGTCATCAACATCAGAAGCTTGTTCACTGGCTTGACTGAAATGAGTTTGATTATCTCAATCCAGTTCCTAGTGGACAGGTGTCCACATCACAGTAAACACCATTGCAGGTAGCACTAATCAGCACTTCTGCTGCTAGTCTCTGTAGAGTCCGGTGACTGAATGGACCAAGGGAACTCAACCACCTTCTAGCTCCTGAAGGGGGTTAACACACATTGGTAGGGCTTAGTGAGGATGGCTGAGGAACACAAATAATGGTGGAAGGCTACTCATCTCTAATGCATACACTACACGATGCACTCACCTGTGAGATGTATGATAATAATGACTTTCTCAAGGTTCATTTATTTCTCTAACTCCTTTATGTTCCCAGTTCATTTCCAAAGGAAATTGCTTCTATTGCATACTCTCTCAGAGAATAACCAGTTTACAATCTTTTATTCAGAAAAACTAGTAAAAGCTCTCCTGACTGAAATGCTGCAGTGCAATGGACACTATGCCTCTGGCTGTTTCAATTTCCTGATAGCTTTTAATGATTCACTGTGGGTGCCTGATAATCTCCCCTTTCAGTTCTGCAAGTCTCATGCCAACTAATCTGCCTTCAGCCTGGTTTTTTTTGGTTGGCCTAACAAATGAGCACCAGAGGTTAAGAGAGAGTCTACTTTAGGAAGGGCTCTTCTGCTTCAGTTCATAGTAAATAACATGCATTAAAGGATGAGATCTGAGAGCTGGAAGTAAAACAAGGTGATTGATTCTAAAAATACCAGGAGCCAGATTCTCACAAATCACCATAGCTCCATTGGCTTCATTGCAGCTCTGCCATTTTACAGTAGCTGAAGATCTGGCCTGATGTGGATATGAAATACCAGACATGAACAACACCCATCACCATGCCTAGGGCGTTGGGGGGAAAAGAGACATATATGTGCACTCCCTACAGAGATAGATTAAGCACAGCATGATGGATTACTAATTAGCAAAGCTTTGAGGCTGTTGGGGATATTTGTAAAGGTCAGTGTGTTTCAAAACTAAAAATCAAATAGCATTTTTATGCTGAACTGACTGGAACAATTTTTGTAAGTAATTTAGGGTTAGCCTCCCATTCTTGGGGCCTCCTAGTCCCATAAAAGTGTTTTAAATCTTGAGGATTTTTTATCAGAAGGGTTACTACAAGAAAAGGAAATAGTAAAAGATTTAGCAAAGCCAGAATACAAATGGAAATCTTTCTCCCGACTCAAGCGTGATTTAAAACTAGAGTTGGTTGGAAAATGGGGACATTTTTTCATGGGAAACATGTCCCCTATTTTGTTGAAAAACTTCAAAATTTATCAACTAGCTTAGATTGTAAATTCTTTGTGAGAGGGACATCTTGTCTGTGTTTGCACGGTGCCTAATACAATACATAGATTCTGACCTGCTGTACAGCACAGACTACAGAACTTCCCCAAAATGATTCCTAGAGCATATCTTTTAGACAAACATCCAATCTTGATTTTAAAATTGCGAGTGACAGAGAATCCACCACAACATCAGTAACTTGTTCCAATGGTTAATTACTGTCACTTAAAAATATACACCTTATTTCCAGTCTGAATTTGTCTAGCTTCAACTTCCAGCCATTGGATCTTGTTATACTTTTCTGTGCTAGACTGTAGAGCTCATTATTAAATATTAATTCCTCATGTAGGTACATATAGACTGTAATCAATGGGGTCCTCATCCCTGACTTGAGCTCCGAGATGTTACAGTAATACCAATAAAAAATAATAATATTGAAAACCCATCCTCATAACAAGTGAGCTACAGAAACAGCATTCTGCTTTCTAGAGACCTTCCTCTTTCAGGCACCCAAAGCAGTCGGTTTTGTAGTGTTTCCGGTTTTCCCTCTGAACCTACAGTTGTCAGCCCTGTCTTATTACTCTACTCACAGGGCCAAATTTACCAATACATTCCAACCGTTTTATACCTGTCCTCTAGTGCAGAGCTTAACCAGCCACTTAAACCAGGTGTATAGCTGCTTTGCATTTCTGGAACAGCAGAAAACAACCAAAGTGGCACCAGTTAATATTACTCTGTGTGAAGTCTGGGGCCTTAATTCCACAGAGAGCCCCACATTTGCATTGGGGATTCACCCACATGGAGCTTATTGCAGGTTCTGTGCCTAGTGAAGGATCTAGCCTGTCATACAGATACTTTCTTTTAATGCTTAGTTTGTCTATGTGTGTGTGTGTGTATATATATATATATATATATATATATTCAAATTGATGCATGTATATTTTTAAAATATCTTCTGGCTCTTTGGATTTTAGGGGCTTTTATTTTAACACTTAGGCTTTATTTATTTAAAGCTTTTTAACCATTTAGAGGACATAAGTGAACTTTCGTCAGAATAAGCAGTGTTTTCTCATTAATATATTTGTTAAAAGTAAATGAAACTTACAACACTGCATTTTTCCATTTGCAGGGCACACACATGTTTCAACCGCTTGGATCTTCCACCCTACCCATCTTATTCCTTGCTGTATGAAAAGCTGTTGACAGCTGTTGAAGAAACTAGCACGTTTGGACTTGAGTGAGGGAATTCAGACACTTCTGGTATTTTCCTGGCTGATGATGTCACCTTCCTTCCCCACCGTCATATGATCTTGGTTTTCCATGTTTTTATTTTTTAAAACAAAAATCAGGATTGACAAAAGCTGTGCATGAAGAACTGCCTCCCTCTAAGATCTAACCTTCATGCTTTCATCCTCAGTTTCCAATGGACTGCTAGCCTGTATGCAATAGAAAAACAGCTGTCTCAAGGTTTCTGTATATCTCCTCATATCTCCATTAATAATAATAAAAATACGAATGCAGGTTATGTTACACTTGACCAAATGTTGATAAATGTTTACTTCCACCTACGTTGATTAAAAAATAAATAACCTCATCAACCATTCCAAGCTTCTATATGCCTGTGTCTTCTAAACAAATCCACAGTTCATCTCACTTCTTACCAGTTGAATTCAGTCCTGGGAGGTGGTCAAGTGTTTCTTTCATCCATCCTTGTTTTTCCTGTCCATATCGTCCATCATAGAGATACCTATGAGTAAAACTGAAATTTTTATACCTGGACTCAAGATTCACATCAACCGGAACTGGCCCAGACATATGATGCAGATAAGACATTAAAAAAAAAACCCACCCTGTAATGCAATGCAAAGTATTCCAGTGATTGCTATGGATGGTTACTTGCCAGTACTGGAAAGAACTTGCACTTCAGACATTTTGGGAGGGGCATCTCTATTGTAATGTTTACCACGCAAGAAGCACAAATCTGTGCACACTCAAGAAGGATGTCTCATTACGTAGCATAAAGGAGAAGGATCCCTTACCTAAATATTGTACATGACAAAGAAAAGGGGACTGAGAAGAATGTTCTGCTCTTGTTAATATCTTTGGGTTCTGTTTACTGATTCTTTGTTATCTGATGTTTAAAACACCCCCTTACAAATGAGAAGTATAGACAATCCTGTCCCTTATATCAGAAGCCATTTATTTCTTGTCAGGCAGGGCTAACTTCTGGTTGTTGTTTTTTTCCCTTTGTTGTCAAATGCAAACCTCCATAACCTCAGAATTGGTTGTGCACAGAAGGGTTTAGACAAAGTTCTGTTAAATGTGAAGCTGCAGTGAGATTGTATCTCTCTTTTGCTTAAACATTTGTAGCAATTCTTCTTGGAGTGAAGCCCAATGACCTGCATGGCCTCATTAGGTACCAAATTAAAGATCCAGTTCTTTTCTGGTGCCTAATTGAGACCTCAAATTCTTTAATTTTGTGGGCTTCATCTTCCAGCTCCAAAGCCAGGAAAGGCAAGGCACACAGCAGCATTCTTGTCTTTGATGGGTATTGCTGAGGCTATTACAATCAAACCCACAACACTGGTTGTCTCCAACTTTTAACCTTTGCTGCCCTTGTTTTCCAAAACTTATTGTGGATTGAAAGTGTTTGTCTTAACTGGGAAAATGTGAAGTGAGCACGATAGTGTCAAAGAATACCCATAACAAAAACTAAGTGAAATATACAGGGTAATTCTATCTTGATACGAGCAACAGCTCACATGAAATAGATGGCAGTCAGATACCACACCCATCTGTGTCTGTTACTATGCTCATTTTGTTGTTATACTTCAGAAATCTGTCAGAAAGATGTCATTCAACATCCAACACATTCTGTTCTTATAAACCTACCCTTCAAAGAACATAGTCAGGCCCAGCCTTTCCATGCGTTTTTACTGACCGACATATTTAGCTATTAATACGCTAATGTGTATATGATTGTTTTCTAATATTTTTGAATTACTTTCTTCTTGATTTTAAAGTTACTGCATGTCTTAATGGTGACAGGTAAAGACATGCTTCTAAGCAGAAATACTATGTTTTGGTTTAATCAGAATATGAATTTTTAAAGTGCTCCATTAATTCTACTTCACTAATATCTGTTGGCCATTTAATACTATTTTTATTATGTGTTTCTTTTAAGTATTTATTTTAGAATACACATTGTTATTTATTTATTAAATTATTTATTAATTTATTTATTTACTTATTTGTATTACGGTAGCCACTAGGGACCCCAACTATGAATCAGGGCACCATTGTGCTAGGTGCTGTACACTTGTGTAAAAACACAGCCTCGGTCCCAGCTCTCATTTCTATGTCATATACTATGGGTGTTAGCTCTGCAAAAATTATGTAACCTGCTTCTTTATGCCTCTGTTACATCAGGGTGAATTATAGGAGACTGCATGGTACCAGGATTGCCATAAAGGCTCTGGCTCTGATGCTGCAGTGTGCTCAGCAATCTCGACCCCATTCAGTGGGAGCATCTCATAGGCTGGGTCCCAAAGGCCAATTTTTTGTGCAAGATTCCTGTTTCATCCCTGATAGAATCATTACAAAATAACATGCATTATATTTAATGCTCGGTGTCTTCAACAATACAAGAAAATAAGCAGAGACAAGTATCCATCTGGTTGGTCCCAGGTTGACCAAAGAAAACTGTACATCAAGAGCTGTCTCACTAACATAAAAAAAGGGGAGGAGGGGGGAATTCCAGCCTTTAGATAACTGTATAGTTAGAATTTTTTAAAATATTTCAAAGCTGTATTTTATTAAAAAAATAAACTATTTTTTGTAGCATAATGAAAGACATTTGTATTTGCACAGACAGCATCTAGCCCCAGACGGAAACAAGAAAGACTCGCTCCTGCATTCCTTCTTCAGATCAGGTTCTGACATGGGCCATATGCTAGGGGTTAGAATAGGTTGTAGGTATCTTCATACTTGACAGGTACCGTGTCAAGCAACTTGGCGATCTGGATAAAGAAAATATATGACATGGCCAGCTTATTTTCCATCAAAATCTCTGGCAAAAGCACTCCTGCATGGAAATATTTCAAAAAAACTGGTTTCTCAGATGATTCTGATGGCATCAAAATAGAAACACCCTGCATATTCTTGGATCAAAAATAATAGTAGGGGAAAACAAATGACTCTTTTCCTTCCTGTCCTCATAATCCTTCTACACATGCTTTCGCTAGACTTGTCACCAAAACATTGAAACTGGGAAAAGAAAACACCATATTTTATCTGTTTTTTCCCCTCCAGAAACTTCATCTGATCCTACCTTTTTAATTCTCTTCCCCTGACAAAGTCCTTCTTAAGTGATTTTCACCCATTGACGTCTCTGGGATAGCATTTCTGGTGATGGTTTGCGTAGTTAAGATCTCACAACAGGAACAACCTATCCATGTCTCTTATCCATTTATTGATCCTTTCTTTTTTTAAAAAAGCGTACACAAGAGGCACTGTTTCCCCATGTTCTTCCATTCAAATTCCACTCCTTACCTATAAACGAGAGAGAATTCTGCAGATCTGCACATTTATCGTAAACATTTGGATTATTCATGAGAGCCATTTTTTTCTCAGCCCTTCCTCAGGAAGGAATAAAAGGTTTTCCACAAGGAAGACTACTGTGAAGAAGGTTAAAGATGCACAGAACAATCATAACCCATTCAATTCCCTTCACCCCAATTCCCTTCTTAAAATGTTGTGTTCTATCATTATGCTAAAATATGATATCTGTATTGATAGACAGATTTTAGGCTGCAAGAAGGAAAGAACAGAAAAACAGATAAGTGTTGTAAATGATAGTCTTTTAAGTTCTGGGGTCCAAAGGCACCACAAAACTGAAAGCAAATAGGCCAGGCTACATTTAGTTTTGCATAGAAACCATGAGTTTTGTAAAGTTATGATGAGAAAATATAAATGTTACCCAGTTTGCTCAAGTGCATATGAAATTTCAATGAAGTGTGGTCGAATTGTGAATTTGCAACCTAACCTGAAACCCAGACTGTTTTGTTTTTTCAGATTTCATCATAACAAATGTTTGATATAGCTCCAGATGGAAACAGTGGAGATTGAAATCATCACACCAGGTGGGGTAGGGAGTAGAGAAAAGGGCATGATTTGGAGGGAGAGTCAGCTAAGACCTTTGAGTTAAAAAAAAACATTTTAATTATTTTCATATGTATATATACTCACATACATAGATATAATCTGGAGGGTTAAATTCATCCCTGGTGTTAATCCTGCTGATATGGATGGGGTTCCAGCAGGATGAAATTGGCTTTAGAATTCTTTGATTAATTTATGTTGAAATCATGAATGTTCACCCTGTCTTCAGAGCAACATAAACAGGGCTTCCCAGTGAAGATTAAACACTTTCACTCACATGCAGACCAACAAACCTTTCTACAACAAATGTGGTGCTTATTTTATTATTATTATTATTGCTGTACCTCAGAGTTTGTTATTAAAAATGACTGCAATATACTACAAACCTGGGATAGGCTTTCCAGCTATCACAAAGTCCAAAAAATTGGATTGTTACTTTCTCCCTAGTGAGTCATGTAGTCCCTTTGTTCTAGTAGACAAACAGATGCCTGTAGATAGTAGGTACTAGGTATAGTAAATATTGTACCATTAGCCAAATTCCCTGCAGCTTCCAATTTATCTAAAATAAATGTCTATTATTGTTTTGTTAAAGACTTCGTACAAGTCAATGGCAGTAAAAGTCCTCATTACTGGACTGATTTTGCTTATATTGACAGAAAAATGTCACATGATACTCAGGCTGCGCTTTCTATTCAATCATATCACTATACAGGAATGTCAATAAAATCACTTTGTTATGGCATCATGTGTACTGTTTATTAAAAATAGTTTCTTTTGTGCAAGATGCATTTTACTATAATGGGGTAAATTCATACCTGGTGGAGCTCCATTGACTTGCGGAGTTGTGTTGCACACACCAGCGTTGGATCTGGCCTGTTGTCTGCATTGCACAGTCTTTCAGGCCTTGTGTCTTATCTCTGATTCCCACATGCATAGCACCAAAAAGTGGAAGCACAGAAATGACTGTGGGGTTGATAGCAGCTTCAACTGCCTAGACATGTGCACTTCAGTGTATGAAGATATGGCCCCATACTCCAAGAGCACCATCCTAGGGCCAGCCCTAGCCTGATAGTACAAAAGTTTGTTTTATTTTTTAGAAAGTATGCTGACAAATATGATGACAAAATTCGACTACTGTATTCTAGATAGCACTGTGTGATCAGTGGGTAAACGTTGATCTCTTAACAATTGCTGGGCTTGTGGTAAATGATGACATCAACTAGCCAGAGAATGCCCTGGAGCTCCTGCCATACTTTTACACTAAGGTCTCAACACTGCTCTGATTTCAATGTAAATGAAAATCAGGCCCATAGTATTCTGTGACAGCCCGTTTCGGTTAAATGCAACAGAAGCCTTTAGAGAGCACATCAAGACTGCAAATAGCCTTCAGTGATTTTTTGCAAATTATTGATGTTTTAGGGTTTCACAGGATAACAGCTTATAGGAGGGCTTAGACTGAAGGAATTTTTATCTCAAGTTTTATAGCTTTAAGCCACAAAACACTAGAGCTGTGTGAGAAAATTTAGTGCCAACAAAAAAATCACTCTTCTGTCTTTGTGAAAAACAAGCACTTTGTGGCTACACCTTGACCTTTTATCTTTTTATTACATGAAAACAAACGACTGCTTTTCCAGGCTCTTGTATGAGTAGTTTGATGCCCTGCCCAGTGACCCTACTAATGAAACGAGGCAGGGGCAATGAAAAAAAAAATTAAATTGTACACTGTATTGGAGCACACTAATTCAGTCTATTTCAAGAATGGGCTGCAGCTCATAGTTTGGGAATTGCTGGTATAAGTTATTTTAATTTTTTTTTGTCATATTTAATTTTGCTTCAAACTACTTTTGGGAATGCTGGATCAAGTCTGAAGGATGAGCTCCTTTTCCTCATTTTTCAGTCTTCAAAGCCTTACATTTACCACCAATCTTTAACTAAAGCAGTATAAATTATCATGCTTCCTAAAACCATCAAACTCGGATAACAGCTTTTCAGGAATGCAGCAGTGGCGACATTGGAATCTTCTGTGAGATTTTGGGTACAAGCTGTGATTTGATTTTAGTATATCTTACATGGTCTTTTATTGACAACTCTGTAACTTGCTAGTGTGTTTGTATTTCTAGAACACTGCTGAGGACAAGCACTGAAAAAAGTACAACTTTTCTGATCAGTCTGCTTTCTCTTTTGAAAATAAGCCTCAAAACTGGTGATGAAATCAATTCACCTCTAGGACCATAGGATTTGCCTTACTTGATCAGACCAGTGCTCTATTGAATCCAGCATCCTGTGTCTGGCTGTGATCTATATCTGATGTTGCAGAGGAATGTGCTATCCTCCTATAATTCCCAAATCTTATAATATTGTATATGGGAGAAAAAAGTCCTTTCTACGTCCTTCAGCCATCAACCTAACTATGAAGAATAAGATTTTATTACTTTTTGGGCATTGAGTTAGGTGACTATAAATTCAAAGAGAGGTGCTCTTGAGGCTTAAAATAAATAAAGTTATATAAATGGAAAGCATTTTTCCATCCAGTCTTACACTATAATGGGATATTCCAAGTGCTTCCTCTGAATTAAGATGGTATACTGACTTTTATATGTGGTCCCATTCAATCATAGAATCATAGAATCATAGAATATAAGGGTTGGAAGGGACCCCAGAAGGTCATCTAGTCCAACCCCCTGCTCAAAGCAGGACCAATTCCCAGTTAAATCATCCCAGCCAGGGCTTTGTCAAGCCTGACCTTAAAAACCTCTAAGGAAGGAGATTCTACCACCTCCCTAGGTAACGCATTCCAGTGTTTCACTACCCTCTTAGTGAAAAAGTTTTTCCTAATATCCAATCTAAACCTCCCCCACTGTAACTTGAGACCATTACTCCTCGTTCTGTCATCTGATACCATTGAGAACAGTCTAGAGCCATCCTCTTTGGAACCCCCTTTCAGGTAGTTGAAAACAGCTATCAAATCCCCCCTCATTCTTCTCTTCTGCAGGCTAAACAATCCCAGCTCCCTCAGCCTCTCCTCATAACTCATATGTTCCAGACCCCTAATCATTTTTGTTGCCCTTCGCTGGACTCTCTCCAATTTATCCACGTCCTTCTTGAAGTGTGGGGCCCAAAACTGGACACAGTACTCCAGATGAGGCCTCACCAATGTCGAATAGAGGGGAACGATCACGTCCCTCGATCTGCTCGCTATGCCCCTACTTATACATCCCAAAATGCCATTGGCCTTCTTGGCAACAAGGGCACACTGCTGACTCATATCCAGCTTCTCGTCCACTGTCACCCCTAGGTCCTTTTCCGCAGAACTGCTGCCTAGACATTCGGTCCCTAGTCTGTAGCTGTGCATTGGGTTCTTCCGTCCTAAGTGCAGGACCCTGCACTTATCCTTATTGAACCTCATCAGATTTCTTTTGGCCCAATCCTCCAATTTGTCTAGGTCCTTCTGTATCCTATCCCTCCCCTCCAGCGTATCTACCACTCCTCCCAGTTTAGTATCATCCGCAAATTTGCTGAGAGTGCAATCCACACCATCCTCCAGATCATTTATGAAGATATTGAACAAAACCGGCCCCAGGACCGACCCTTGGGGCACACCACTTGATACCGGCTGCCAACTAGACATGGAGCCATTGATCACTACCCGTTGAGCCCGACAATCTAGCCAGCTTTCTACCCACCTTGTAGTGCATTCATCCAGCCCATACTTCCTTAACTTGCTGACAAGAATACTGTGGGAGACCGTGTCAAAAGCTTTGCTAAAGTCAAGAAACAATACATCCACTGCTTTCCCTTCATCCACAGAACCAGTAATCTCATCATAGAAGGCGATTAGATTAGTCAGGCATGACCTTCCCTTGGTGAATCCATGCTGGCTGTTCCTGATCACTTTCCTCTCATGTAAGTGCTTCAGGATTGATTCTTTGAGGACCTGCTCCATGATTTTTCCAGGGACTGAAGTGAGGCTGACTGGCCTGTAGTTCCCAGGATCCTCCTTCTTCCCTTTTTTAAAAGATTGGCACTACATTAGCCTTTTTCCAGTCATCCGGGACTTCCCCGGTTCGCCACGAGTTTTCAAAGATAATGGCCAATGGCTCTGCAATCACAGCCGCCAGTTCCTTCAGCACTCTCGGATGCAACTCGTCCGGCCCCATGGACTTGTGCACGTCCAGCTTTTCTAAAAAGTCCCTAACCACCTCTATCTCCACAGAGGGCTCAAATCATGCTCAAATATTTAGTAACAGATATTTAGTGCAAACAATTAATTAAAACAATTGTAACATTTACTTGCAGCACTCAGATTCTGGGTGACAACTGCTGCAAAATAGCAATCCATGTCCACGGGTAGGAAGAGGCCCAGGAAAGGACATTTGTAGATCTTCCTACAGAGAGCTTAGTTACCTGTTCCGCAAATTATTCTGCACAAACACTGTGCAAAATGAGAGGCAGTTTAGATAAAAGCTTCCACCCAGGTCAAATAGTAACTCAGGAAGCTGGCAATAATAATGAAAATATGTGCCTAATGCTGCCACTTAATGGATCCGTGCATCTTTGTTTAAACTATAAAGTGAATGTGAAGACTGAAGAAATTGCTACAGTTGTAGCTGATAAGAAACCTAGTTTTCCTGCTGTCTTCAGACTACTGAATCAGCTCAATTTTAACAAAAAACAAAAAAACCCATCATGCGGAACTGATTTTCAGAGGTGTGAGCACCTACAGTTCCACCTGAATTTAATGGGAGCTTTGGGACTCAGTACCTCTGAAAGTGAGGCCTTACATGTTGACAAGATGAATTCAAGAGTACATGGCTGATGTACCTCAGGTTAGGATAACTATAGTATATCAATTTAGAAGAAATAAAAGAAAACACTTCTGCATACAGCATGTAGTCAGACTAGAATTTACAGTTGCAGAACGTGGTGTTACATACAGTACTATCACTAGATTAAAGAATGAATTTTATTAACATCTGTAGAACATGCTGAGTTATATATTCAAGAATAAAGGATACTCAAATATGCTTCAGGTATAAACTGATCACCACATTGGTCAGAGAAGGAATTATTTCTTTCACCCAATGTTCAAATGAATATGTTCAATACTGGGAAAAGGAGGATACCCTCCTCTGAAGAATTAGTCTGCCAGACTGGAAGGACCAGTGTTCTGATCTAGTCAGGCAAATTCTATGTTCCTATACAACATTGCTTGATCCACTTCTTAAGGGCAGAACTGAAAACAGGCTTTCACTTCGGTGCATGCAAAGGACATTCTCCTAAACAAAGCCCGAGACGCATTATCCTCCACTCCACTTCATTCTCTATTGCTTGCAGGCCAAGTACATCTCATAATAAAGAATGAATTCCTAGAACATGCTACGCTGAAAGGAAAAAAATGTTGAACCATAAGACACTAATGATATCAGCAGAAACGAATGTTTGTCATACTATCTGAGTGTAATTGAGCATAACAAGAGCTCTCCTCTAAATTATATGTGGCTAAAGACTAACACAGAGGCAAAAAAAAAAAAAGGGGAATCACACACAAACTTTCTTGCTGTGCAGTAACTGTGATCAATCAAAATATATCTATTAGCTAGCTTCTAAATGGATGAATGGATGTTCACATAGGCTGAAATTCACCCCTCTGAGGCTGGCCAGCACAAGGCTTATGCTACACCATTTACATCCCACATAAGCCCTCTTTTTTAATACTTAAGTGAGACTAAAGTGGTATATAGGCCTTATGCTGGCCCTCTGCACAAGGGTGAATTTCACTTATACGCTACAGTGCTGTTATATACTCCAGAGTAGTACATCATGGCTGAGCCATCTACAATATATGCCAGTTGCTAGAGCTATTGTGTAGTGAAGTGAAAGGCAAATTGACTTAGTCGGTCCACAAGCCAGTTAAACAAAATGGTTCTTCTGTTCACTGCCTTTCTATTCAGCAGGTAATTCTAATTAATGATGCAGCAAATCCATCTTTCTGTTACTTTAAAACATTGAACTTCTAACAGCCTTCTTTAGGCTTTTCCTACCGTATGGTAGAGAAAGAGATAAA